TATTTTACTCCTTGGGTGGAGCAATCGTAGACCATTTTCATTGAAATCCACGAAGATCCTCCAAATATTCTTGTTGAAGTTGCCTCTGCACCAGTATTAACTTTCCATTTTTTTCGTCAAATTCACTGCTTTTTCACAAATCAATCACTTGAATCAGAACAAACCAAGTGGAATTCTGTTTAGTTAATTGATATCGAAAGGAAATGTCGGAAGTGACGTGCTGTGAGACGGAATTCTTTCTGTATTTGATGGTAATCGTCGGTCTGGTAGCGTTTGCAGGGATGATGGCAGGTCTAACGCTAGGACTCATGTCGCTTGGACTCGTCGACCTTGAAGTTCTCATCCAGTCCGGTCGCCCTAAAGATCGCATACATGCTTGTAAGTTCTACTGCTTCATTCTTACCAGACAAACTCACAGAGGACATGAATTTTGTTTTTCTGTTGAATTATGTGTGTGAGGTTTAATTAGATATTTAGATCGACTCGGATTGTTACTGCTCTCCTCCGAGGAATTGAAATTTTCTGTTATTTTGGTGATTTTTGATGAACAATCGATTCTAAAAGAGCAACCTGGACAAGTAATTGAATGTATGTTTATACACTCCCGAAATAATCAAATAATTTCTTCAAACCTTGATAATCAAGTGTTGTTTCGTTGTTCTGAGCTGGAAATCAGATCATTCATTAAAAGCTAGGATCAGATATTATTTCTATAATTGCTTACCTAGGAAAGTTTTATTGATACTGAAAGGAAATTTGGGGGAAAAGACGATTCTATGATCTGCAATATGATGATGAATGATGATCATGAACAATATCCTCAAAACCTCTACATTTTGAAATCCATGAAAAGAAATAACATGATTCACACATCATATCTTGATGTTTTTTGTTATTCTAATATATGGAATTCTCTTGGTGTCAGCTAAAATATTCCCAGTGGTAAAGAATCAACATCTACTGCTTTGTACACTCTTAATTGGCAATGCTTTAGCAATGGAGGTTTGTACAACTTCCACAGTTTCTTGATAACATTGTCTCTTTTACATCAAGTAATTATCATGTTTTTTTTTCTGTTTCTATCTTCTGTAGTCTCTTCCAATTTTTCTGGATAAACTTGTTCCTCCATGGGCTGCAGTTCTGATATCAGTGACATTAATCCTGATGTTTGGAGAGGTTCGTATTTGTCATAAATATTATGATTAATTGCAAGAAATAGCACCAAACTTGCATTCAACTTTCATTTCTTCTCATTACAACATTTTACTTTGAAAAATCAACCCAACTATAGCAATATCATCCAAATACATAGCAATTTTCAACATATAATGTCTTAAATCTTAATAAGAAAAAGATTGAAACTACAATTTTATAATTTGGTAAAATTTTCTTTTTAACAGATAATGCCACAAGCAGTTTGTACACGTTATGGCTTAACAGTTGGAGCAACACTTGCACCTTTTGTTCGTGTCCTCTTATGGTTGTTCTTTCCTATTGCTTATCCTATTAGCAAGGTAATTTAAAGTTTTTATTATTATTATTATTATTATATTATTGAGTAATTATGTGAAATAATGTGATATATTTTTGTATTTGTATTTTTATAGGCTCTAGATTGGATGTTGGGAAAAGGGCATGCTGCCCTTCTTCGTAGGGCAGAGTTGAAAACTTTTGTGGATTTTCATGGCAATGAGGTAGTAATTAATTTTTTAAATACCCAAAATACCCTTTTAATCCTCTAATAAAACATCAGTAACACAAATCATAATGTTAAAATAGGCTGGAAAAGGAGGAGATTTGACACATGATGAAACTACCATTATTGCTGGAGCACTTGAGTTGACTGAAAAAACTGCAAAAGATGCCATGACTCCTATATCCAAAGCATTTTCCCTTGATCTTGATGGAACTCTTACTTTGTAGGTTTATTTTATTACTTTATATCCAAATATTCATATATCATATATTTATTATTTATATTATTATAAATAACACCATTATAAACACATATCGGGTTAATCTCATAAAAGACGTTATATATTTTGTGTTTTTTTTTTTTTGGATTAAACCTCAACTTTATCTTTTTCATGAAAAAGTCCTTATATTTTTTTCATTTTTTCCGAAAAAACCCTCAACCTTCTAAATGTTTCCAAATAAATACTCAACTTTCTTAGTTTTTCTAGGATTAATCTCAAAAAAAATCTTATATTTTGTGTTTTTACCAGATTAAACCTCAAATTTATTTTTTGCCTAAAAAAGACCTTGTATTTTTTCATTTTCCCCGATCTGGCCCTTTTAGTAATTTCTTTTGCCAAAAAAGGGTTTTTTTTTGAGAAAAACCAAAAAAGTTGAGGGTTTATTTGGAAGCATTTAAAAGTGTGAGGGTTTTTTTTCGAAAAAAAAATACAAAGTTGAGGGCTTTTTCGGAAAAAATGAAAAAATAGGTCTTTTTCAGGCAAAAAATAAATTTGAGGTTTAATCCGGAATATATATATATATATATATATATATATATATATATATATATATATATATATATATAAAAGGTCTTTTTCCTGAAAAAACCCTCACATTTTACAACTTTTTTAGAGAAAAATGACTAAATGGGTCAGATCGGAAAAAATAAAAAAACACAACCTCTTTTTCAAGAAAAAAAAATAAAGTTGAGATTTAAAAAAAAACACAAAATATAAGGTCTTTTATGAGATTAACCCTATAATATTCTATGTAGATTAACTCTTTTTTTTTTTTTTTTTTTTGAAAGGGATACATTAAATGCAATTATGACAATGGGTCACAGTAGAGTTCCTGTTTATTCTGGAGACAGAACAAATATCATTGGAATTATCCTGGTAATTTTTAATAAGTTCCTAAAATCATAAAAATATAAAGAAATAATTAATTACTATAATATTAAGATCTTATCCATTCAGGTTAAGAATCTGTTAGCAGTTGATCCAGATGATGCAGTTCCCATTAGAAAAATGTTATTAAGAAAAGTTCCAAGGTATGAAATACGAAATATAAAATCTTAAAATTTATTCATTGTTTCGTATAAATTATAATCTTGTATTAAAAAAAAAAACTTTCAGGGTTACAGACAACATGCCTCTTTATGATATATTAAATGAATTCCAAAAAGGGCATAGTCATATTGCTGTTGTATACAAAGACCTCAAAAAATCCAAGGAAACAGAGAGTAAGACACTTAACACTATTATCCAATTTACAATCTTTTCATAATTAAGTGAATAATAATCAATTTGTGGGTCCCATTTCAGAAACTGCCAACAAAGCAAGTTTAGATGACGTGGAAAGTGATGGAGATGAGAATATTGTAAAGAGAAGTCCACCTTCAACTCCTGCTTTTAAGAAGAGACATAGAGGTTGCTCTTTTTGTATATTGGATTTGGATTCGAATCCGATTCCAAAGTATCCATCAAATCAAATTGTGGTTGGAGTGATTACAATGGAAGATGTTATTGAAGAGCTTCTTCAGGTATTTCTAATATTAAATATGTTAATTAATATATATACATTTAAATCTCTAATATGGTTTGATTTCAGGAGGAGATATTGGATGAAACGGATGAATATGTAAACATCCACAACAGGTTAGAATTAGATAATGTTTTATTTTATTTTATTTTTATAAAAAAGAACATTTTAAAAAATTATTTAATCATTAATGATAATGACTGAACCCAAATGTAGAATACGGATCAATATGAATGCATCACAAGAGAACCTTCTGGATCCCCATCCCACAGCAAAATGAGAAAAGGTAAAATATAGAATCCGGTAATTTGTACTTAATGCAGTAAAAGTTGTGCATTACTACCATTAAAGTAGCTTGACAAAACAAAACCAACTACTTTTGTTTTATATGATATTAAAAGGGGAAATATAGTGGTTTATCGTATTGTATTGTAATGTAGAGGGTTAAATTCTTTTGGATTGAAAACAGCAAGTTCTTATTATACATATATGCATAAAGTAAGAAATCATATGTTAAGACAACACGAGTTAGTTGTAAAAACAACAAAACTCACAAAAAAGATTATTCAATATGAATAGCTTTAACACGTCTCTTTCCAAATGGAGATCTAAAATGGTAAATGGTCCGGTATAATGTGGATTTAGCTTTCACCATTTACAAACCAGAAGGGTCCCACAACATAGATATCTTAACCAACACTTGTCAACCAACACTAATTCTTTTGGTTTATTCAAATTTGTGTGTAACATCCTAATTTTCAAGACCAAAAATTTTGTTTTTAATTATAAAACGGTTTACTGAAAAACATCATCGAATCATATCATTTCATAAAACATAGTCACGTGTTTCAAACCATATCATAAGATAGTAATGATGTCAGAGTACAATCCCAAGAATCTCATAATGCGGAAATCCTCTGTGTGTGATGCGCAGCTACCGTGCCGGCTCCTTCCCCTTCGATGAAAAGGTACCTAAAAACAAAACTGAAAACTGTAAGCACAAACCTTAGTGAGTTCCCCCATCATACCACATACCACACATAACACATACTGAATAACATATCCGGGTACTAGCTACCCATTCGGTCTCTTTCAACCGGTAACTTGCCTAGCATATATGGGTGCTGGCCTACCCCTTCGGCCCTGTCGACCGGTACCTCGCCTAGCTTATTAGGGTGTTGGCCTACCCCTTCGGTCCTTTCGACCGGTACCGGGGACTATTTCACCCCTACTCTACCACATAGCATCCTAGTGCATAAAAATATAAATCATATACTGCCTAGCTTGTCTGGGTGCTGGCATACCCCTTCGGCCCTATCGACCGGTACTGGGGTCTATCCTACCCCTCCTATCACATATCACATAACATCATGGCATACTTTCACATAATTATATCATACCAGATAATTATCACAAATACAATTATCTAACAATCATCTCCTACTATTGGGCCGACATTGTGGCCGTAGACCCACCTCTACTGGAAGGTAACTCACCTCAATGTCGTGAAGTGTCTGAACTGTCCTCGATGCTGGAATCAACTCCTCTCAAACTCCTACACATAACAACCTTCCTTAATTACCATTTCATACTCTTAACCCTTTCAAGGGTCAACTCAGGTCAAAGTCAAAGTCAAGGTCAACACCCTGGTCGAAGTCAACTTTTGGTCAGAGTCAACATCTGGTTGACTCAACTCGCTGAGTTGGTCCACCAACTCGTCGAGTTCCATAATCCACAAAATACTGGAACTTCGATCCTACTCGTCCAGTTTTTCAAGAACTCGTCGAGTTCTCCTTCATACAGAATCGAGACCTTTTTGCTCTTGACTCGCCGAGCTCGTCCATGAACTCGTCGAGTCCTTCTTCATACAAGTTGAAGTGTTTAGCCCTTAACTCGTCGAGTTCTTCCTTGAACTCGTCAAGTTCTTCTTCATATCAGTTGGGACATTGCCTTGAACTCGTCGAGTTTTTTGATCTTCATGTCCATATTCACGTCCATCTTGTTGAGTCCTCTTCTAGACTCAACCAGATGGATCAGAAACAAGAAAAGGTTGGGGAACCATGACCCGACTCGCCGAGTCCCCCAAAGTCCAAGTCTACCAAGTCGATTTTAGTCGGGCTTAATGCATCTAGAACATAGATCTGACCTCCTAGGATCGATATAGCACGTAAAGTTACAAACTTTGCGTGCATGCATGGGTTAACTAGCTCATAAGGACCCAAAATGAATTCTACATGGTGCATGGGACTCCCATGGCCATAAAGTTGGCACCTTTATGCCATGGGAACCCTTAAAGGTTCAAGATCTGAAGTACAACCCCATTGATACTCACAATCCCGAATATGGCTTCACTAAGACTTAGAAAAGGTAGAAAATAGCCCTAAATGGAGATCTAAGAAACGAATAGTCAAGGTATCAGCTTTATACCTCAACTGAGCTGGAAATGTGCCAAAACCTCTGGATCTACTTGCCTTCTCTTGATCTCCCAAGCCTCCTCCTTTTTCTCAAGCTTCAAAAACACACAAATGGCACAAAAAGGCTCAAGAACACTCAATATTCGATTAAGGTTTCGTGAAGAGAGTCTGAGGGTGATGGAGGCTGGAGTGGAGACCCTATAAGTTGTTTAAATAGGGTGCAAACCCTCAAATTTAGGGTTTCATCCAGACAGTTCTACTCGTCGAGTCGGGGCTTCCGACTCGGCGAGTAGACTCTTCCACCTGCGTCCAATCATTCACATCTACTTGACGAGTTGGGCCTCCAACTCGTCGAGTCCCTGTGTAAATATGAAAAAACTTATAATCAAAATACGTACCGGGAATCGAGCGTTACATTGTGCAACTCTTTTGGTAATTTTGAGTCAACAATATTCTCTCACGAATAATTTTACCTTATCCATCGTTTGTTAAATTAGGTATGTCATAAAATATCTTGTAACCAACAAGATGAGACTCAATTCTTTCTTATATATAGTTCTTCATAAGGTGCGATTTGGTGGAATGGTAATTATTGTTATATGAAAACTCAATCAAAGGGAGATGTTTAAACTAATTCTAGTCACTTGCTCTTTTGAAATAAGCAGCACACATTGTTGAACAAGCTTATTCAAGTGGGTGCGGATATGGATGAGCAAAGGAACCGACCTGGCTGGAATCGTCCCGAACCGGAACCGGCCCGGGAACCGAACTTGGTGGAAAATAGGAACCGAACCGGACCGCCGGTTCTACCAGTTCCGGTTCCTACCGGTTCTTGCTATGTCTTAAAATGTTGGAGCCGGTCCTCGAAAAATAGCAACATACGGTTCCAGATTTTGTCGGTTCTACCGGTTCCCGGTTCCAAAAATCCACAAGAATATTGTCCCGATCTCGGCCCGACTGGTTCCATCGGGTTCCGGTTCCTGTACTGGTTCCGACCGGTTCCCCGGTCCATATGCTCATTCCTAGGTGCGGATGAAATACACACATACTCATAGCATATATTCCAATGTTTGTGTGTATCCACTCATTTTGCCTATCCTTTTGATGATGGTATACACTACTCAAACACAACTTAGGGGTTGTTGGCAGGATCTGAATTTTTAAGAGGTCTGTATTTCTAAGAGGGTCTGAATTTTAAATATGTTGTTTGGTTGGAACCTCTAAATTGTTGTGATGGATTATAAAAATGATAGTTTCACCCTTATGTTGCTTAATAATTATAAAAAAATATATATAAACCCCATACAAAATCCAAATTAACATAAATCCAAATTAAAATAATATAATAAAAATAACCATTTTACCCTTTTGTTTAGAATAATAATATATACCACAAATCTATCAAAAAAAAAGCAATGAAGATGCAACACAATCTCTTTAGACTTACTCGAAACCATCATAAAACTAAGAGCATCTGCTATAAAATTATGGAACCGAATGTATGAAAACTTTTAAGATAACAAAGATGTAAGGATTTTTTAGAAAAAATAAAATAAAATTCAGATTTAATCTAAAAAATTGAAAAAACGTAAAGGATAAATCGAAAAAATGAAAATGTAAGGGGTAAATCGAAAAAATAAAAATTGTAAGGGCTAAATTGAGAATATATATATATATATATATATATATATATATATATATAAATGTTTTTGCAGGATAAAAAATATAGTGGAGGTTTAATCCAAAAAAAACTCAATATATAGTTTTTTTGTGGTTATCCTTTTATTTTATACTCTCTAAAGTGTTTTTTTAGCACCAAATGAGATATATATTAAAATAGCAACACTCAGCAAGAAGTTAAGATGCAAAATGCAAAATACACAAAGGTTCAAATTGAAAATTACATAATAGAAATAAAGTGAGAGAATGGTGAGATACTCATTTCCCCCTAATTCCCACACCCAAGTTTGCTTCTATGTTTGCACCACAAAGAAGAGATAGATATAACATTTTATGTCACCTTTGTATGAGGGATTCTCAACTCTTTGAATAATTTGTCATTCTTTGCTATTCAAATGTTCCATAGTAAACAATACACAATGGAGTTGAAGATTGTTCTTTTCCTTGAACAGTCCCCTAGGATGTTGCAAAGTCGATGAATTCCCTAATATTAGAAATTTTTTGTGTTTTAATCCCACACCATTAGAAGATCCACTCACGAACTCCTTTTGCAAAGTCACATTTAACTAGGAGATGATCGACCGATTCAGCTAGTGTCGTGGCTATTGGAATTGATGAATATTCATGCGACTTAACTTCCAACAATTATCTTCTACCAACATTTTACTTCAATGATAATTTAGTATTACTTGATCACTTTCAAAAAATACATATCGAAAAACCCTTTTAATGGATTGAATAAGCAAATTTAAACAAGTGTTACAATAAAGTTCTCGATAACAATTATTTTTTCTAGATTTTTCATATATTGTATAGTCTACTACAAATCTAAAACAATATACGTTTTTTCCTTCATGAAATGGTAGTGAAACCGTAGACTGTACATTGCTCATATGGATGTGAACGGAGACAAACGGGACGGAGAGTGCGTCCCCCGCCCCCGCCCCCGCCCCCGCCCCCGAAATTTTCCCGTTCCCCC